CGGGTTTGGTTTCTTCTTATTCTGGGTTATTCTGGGGGAAGGGATTTTTACAGATAGGTGAGGGGGAAGGAAGGGGACTGGGTTCGGGTTTTTCTGGTGTTTTTTTTTTATTTTTAAATAGAGTTAATATTATAATATTATTAATGTATAAAAAAATTATTTTTTTTGCCACGTGGCAGCCACATCAACACAAATGTGGCAGCCACGTCAACATTTAACAATCATTGGATGGAAAATCTAACGGATGTGTTATTTTGAAATAAAATAATACGTGAGGTATGAAAATGAAATGTTTTAAAGATGTTGTATGAGATTGTAATAAACCCTCAAACCTGAGGGGTTTCTATGTAATTTACCCTACTTTTTTGGTTTTGTTTATCGTTTGGTGAGTGTGACGTGTGGTGGGGTTTAGGGAAAGGAGATAGTAAATTGTAGCAATAGTTTCACAACTCTAACTCAATTGGAACAATGATTTTTCAACTAAAAATTCATTAGCATTGGTCTCTCAACTCATCAAAGCATGCAGCTATAGTTCCTCAACTAAAAATTCATCACTAATGGTCCCTCAATGTTAATCCAACTGGAGAAATGGTCCCTCAACTTTAACCAAATTAGAGAAATGTTCTCTCAACTTCAACCCAATTGTAGCAATGGTCATTCCAACATAACACATTTTGACAAAATTTTGACGAAGTTGACGAAAATGACCATAGCTACACGTTTTGATGAATTGAGTGACCAATGGTAATGGATTTTTAGTTAAATGACCATTGCTCCAATTTGATTAAAGTTGAGGGACCATTGTTACCATTTACTCGAAATGAGATTATTCGCGTTCCAGGAGGATCCTCGTCGAACCCTCTTTGTAAGGATGCTGGAATCCTCCAATCACATTCGTTCATCGTACATCGTACGGTCAGAAATTATTATAAATTTAAAATTAAATATAAACAATACCTGATAAAAACTGATTGCACGATGTACAATGAACAGATATAATTGAAGAATTCTCAAAATCTTTACAAAGAGGATCCAGCGAAGATCCTCACTCATTTGCGATATGATTGGGAAAAAGGGTAAAGATTAGGATTTTTTTAAATGAAAAAGTGGGTACATGCATGGTCGAATCAAAGTGTAATTTGCCTCACATTTTATTAGGAAATGATTACGATAAATCTTACGTTCAATTCTTGTCAAAATCAAATTTGAATTACATTTTAAATAACCTTCGTCTTTCACTTTCTTAGTGTAAGTAATATTTTTTGTTTAAAGAAAAAAATTATCATTAATGCATTTGTATACAAATAAATTTTGGGTATAATAATATTTTAGAGAAAGAAAATGAAGAAAGCAAAAACTTAACTTCAAATTTTTACTTTTAGAAAAATATCGCCCTATAAAAATAAAAGAAAAAATATGAGTTTCAGAGACAGATTTTAAACTATAGGCAACGTGAATCAAACATACGTGAATCAAACAACGTATCAGTAGAGAAATTGGCCTCCTGAGAAAATGAGCCTCTTGATTCTTCCTAACATAGGAAATTAATACCACTCCATAAGATTTCAATTTTATATTTTTGTATAACATAATGTATAAAAATAGACAACAATATATTTACAACTATAAAATCAAAATTAGGCCAAATCTCATTATAAACTCGGTAAAATAATTTAGCTTAAACCTTAAACAACGAAAATCGAACATAAGAATTTTCGCTTGCAATCAGATTTTACAGTTTTAATGAATCCCTCTTTAGTTTTCTACAATTTTCCATTTCAAAGTTTGATCTTTTTTATTTTACTTTTTAAAAAGAAAAACCTACTGACTTTGATCGGTTAAATACAGGCTTAGCTTAAGTTAAAAAAAAAGATGGAAAAGACAGCTTTCAAAAATCAGCTTATTTCAACAAAACACGGATGAACATTAACAAGTTAATGAACTTCTCAATTTTTCAATCCTACCCTCCCCTTTCTCATGCTTTCTTCCTCATTTTTCCCAGAACCCACTCAAAGACTTCCAAATTTTGAGACTTCTCTCTCACTCTCACTTCCCTTCTCTATTTCAGAAAAATCCTTCAGGTGTGAAGCCATCTCTTCCAAAAAAAAAAATCCTTTATATTTTAAGCAAGTCTTTCTCTTTTCCTTGTTCATTTAATTGTTTTCTTCTATTATACAGATCCTAAAACTTGATGGAAAGATTGGAGCTTTCAGCTTGCTACACCAAATATGAAAGAAGCCATCCTTCCTTGTCACAGCCCGTCCCGAGATTTATATATCGGGAGCGTGAAATGACGATACTACCCTTGACGTTACTAAGGTATGTGTGTGATATGTTTTGAATTTTTCATGGTTCCTAAGCTTTTGGAGAAAATAATTTAAGTTGGATTTATTTGGAATGTATTTTTGTGCGGTTAGGGATTAAAATTAGTGTGTATGTTTGGTTGGACCACACACAACCAACTCTCCCTGCTTTCTTCCCCGTACCTTCCCTTTCTCTCCTCCCTCACGACTCTCTCTCACTCTCTCTCCCCCATAAACGTACGGCAACAACTAAAACCCTCCAAAACTTCGTGGATCGAAGCAAATAAGGTATGAATCTTCACCCTCTTGATGTTTTGAGTTGATTGGTACTAGTTTTAGGAAGTGAAACCCTCGGGATCGTCGGGAAACCCTAACCCCGAAATTGTGCACTGTTCATGCACACGTAAAATCTTACGTTTCAGGGAATTTCAAGCTCACAGTGAGCTTAAGGACATCCTCGCGAGCCTCGGAGTGCTTCGTTGGTGATAATTGGACGTCGGAGGACCGAGAGCGAAGTCCTCAAAGTTTCCCGAACTATCGTGCTTCCCCAGGTAAAATATAGTGAATTTTAGACCCTAAAACTAGTCCATCGTGATTCTTCATGGTTGGGGCTTCAGTTTGATATAAAATTCGAAGAAAATGGTTGAGAAACGAAGGAGAACAAGAAGTTACAAGTTTGGCCGGAAACCGGCCGCCGGAAAAACAAGTCCGGCGACTGGCTGGGGAAGATGACGCGCGTGGGGGCGCGTGTGTCCGTGTGTTCCCTGGCGCATGGGGGCGCGTGCGACACCAAAAAATTAATCTAAAAATTTCTCGACGTCCGTGACGTCGAGTAGGTCGATGTGGTATATTCATATACCCAATTTGAGCATCGTATGAGAAGTTATTTCGAATTGTTGGTTATATGTTTAAATTAACATTTTTATAGTTGTTTCGCATATAGGTGACACTTATCCCAAGAACGAGCGCATCCAGGGACGTCACGGGGGTTACGACCCATCGACTTATCAGTGAGTGGGCAGTTTTGTTTTCGTATTACCTATATACAACTGTTTTTCCCAGAAAATGCGTTTATATGAAAATTTTGATTTAAATTGCCATGCATGCAAATGTTGAGATATTTAGTTTGATAATGGATGCATATATATGTTAATTGACGCGGTGGACGCACAGGTGAGTTTTTATATTATTCAGATGAGTTATTTTATGAGAACTGCATTGAAAGCTCATAACATGCACCCTAGGTGTTAGTGCTTATATTATTATTCACCACATCGCACGCTCGTCTTGGATCCAAGTAGGTGGATGTCGTACAGACCATGTGAGGGTTCCAACATGCTAGTCATATAGATCACTAGATGTGATTCCGACTAGTGGGTGACCTTAGTTATGCGCGCTGATGATTGATGAGAGAAGCACTAGAGCGTATTTATACACCTTTCATCGTACACACTACTATACGTAGTTCCGAGTGATGTGCAATGTAGTGCTGTACAGGTCACAGTTGGTGACTCCGGCAGGGTCGTATAGGTCACTGTGGTGACTTCGGCTGAGTGGGATGTTGAGCTTTAGAATCAGCCGTACAGGACCATTGTAGGGTCTCCGGTTGATTTATTATTTCACCTAATTGATATTGATGCATTTCTGATTATATTTGGCATGGCGTGGCATATTATTTCTGATATGTTATGTTGATGGATATGAGCTGAGTTGTGATGATATGTGTATATATATGTTTATATACTATTTTTCTGGGGAAGTATACAAGTTTTACGGTGAGGGGTTAGAAATGTTTTAAATGGAATGTTTTGGAAAATCTTTGATTTTACTGACCCACTCATCTTTGTTTTGCGCCCTTCCAGGTTCTAATTTGCGGTTGGTGACTCTCGAGGTCTTTTTCCGGCATTCTGACAGACGCTCTACATGTAGGACTCACCTGCGGGTGATGTACTTTTATTTTGGTCCTACTTGACTGCACTTAAACCTATGCTCTGAATTTATGTGTTTACCTTATAACTCATCCTTTTATTCTAGTAGGTGGTTCTACTACAGATTGGTTTGAATTCCTTTATATTTTGTTATGTCTTGCTTCCGTGTTGCACTTTTGGTTACGTCACGCTCACGTGACGGCCAGCACGCCTTGATCCTCTAGGTCGGGGTGTGTCATTCCTCCCAACGATCTCTCTCATTCTCCAGGTCGCGTTATCTGGCTCGGCGTCCTTCCTCTGGTAAGCTTCTCTTGTCTAAAATTTCATTATTTATTTGTTTGGATTTTTAAATTTGGGGATGGGAGAGTGAGTGAAAAAGGGGTGGGAAGAGTGAAGGGATGAGTGTATGGGTGTCGGGAAACAAACATTGGGGATGGAGGGTCGGGAAAAAATTAATTGGGGAAGGTGATATGGTTTGTGGAAAAAATTAGGGTTTGTGGAGAAAACAAGAAAAATTGAGAGAGAAGTAAGAAAAATTGATTACTTCTCTATTCATTTTTTTTCCGAAGAGTTGTTGATTACTTTTTTTAGATTAATTTTTTGTTTGTCATTATCTTTTGGTTATTTCAAACAATCATAGCTGTTTTACAAAAAAAATTTATCAAACACTATAATACTATTTTTTTTTTCTTAAAACACTTTTACAAAAAAATACACCAAATACTCTTCTGCTGCTTAATTTCATAACACCAGAGAAACCTTTTTTTTTCGAAGCAGAACAATACCAAACCAGCTGGAGTCATCAAAAGAAGGCGGGAAGAGTTGAACCCCACAAACCCCTAAAATCAAAGTCCTTCCCTCCATCTCTCTTCAATTTCAGAGACTCAGCGTGCAGAGGAAGCTCCACAGCCCACAACAATGGAGGCCCCCACCCCCAAACACACGTGCCTAAAGCTCGATCTCCAAGAATCCCAGCAACCAATCTTCGTCAAGGGCACGTGGTTCCCCTCCCGCTTCGAACTCTCCATCACCGACGGCCGCAACGCCTGGATCTGCTCCGCCTCCGAAGACCAGGTCAGCGACCGTGCCGCTCAGTGGGACCAGCCGGTCTCCGAGTACGTGGCGCTGGCCGAGCGCTACTTAGGGTTTCAGCACCCTGACTCCGTATACGGGTTCGCCGACGCCGGCGACGGCTACAAAAGAGTAATTAAAAATTGAAGCTTTTTATTAACTTAATTTCTTGGGGAAATTATGTTAGTTGTAATTAAAGTTGAGTAATCATTCGATTGAGATTGATTGTTTGTACAGCTTTCATGGACGTTTGAGAAGGAAGGGACGAAGCTCGAATGGCGGTGGAAATGTCAGCCGTCGCCAAACAGTAAGCAAACCACGGCGGCGGTGTTGGATTTTCTCATGGATGCAAATGTTGGGCTAAGTGTAAATTTCCCTCCTTTTTATAAACTTAATTATTTTTTGCTACGAAGTGTTGGATATTAATAGGAATGATAAGAAAACTAGGTTGGAATCCACGCAATTTTGAAACCCTGTTGGAATTTTTGGAAATTTAATCGAAAGATGAGTTGTGATTTGGATTTTCAAAGTATTTAGTGTTTCTGAAAGAACCTAGATGGGTAATTTCATCTACTATGCACCGGATTTGAATTGTATATATATGTACAGACTGCAGACTCTGAAGATTTTCTCTCAACTTTGTTGCACAAAAGATTGTGATTTTTTGTAAACTTGATCTTGCGTTGGGTTTATCGGAGAAGCCAATGTTGAGCTAGAGTTTTTTAGACTTCCAGTCTGCCGCTCTACATTGTCTAGGAAAGAGCTGATTGCATCTGACGTAACTTGCATTAAAGTTGGAATAGTATCTGGTTGAGTACTCATGTCAATAATGAAGAGTGGTGTATAGTATGTCGGTTTCCTTGTTTTTACAACTATTAATAAGTCACTGATTTGTGTTTCTTCTGTTTGTACATATCATGCATATTTGAGTCAGTATATTCTGCTGGAGGTGCTTATGAGAGTGAGTTTAACTTGTTTGCTTGTTTCATTCATAATATGTATGTGTGTGTATAGGAAGAAGTTGTGAGAAAAACTCAATCATTTGAGAGGTTGAAAGTGGAAGCTGAGAAGTGTCTAGCACAGAGTGAGAAGATTACCAATGAGAAGATAGAATTTGAGTCCGCTATTTATGCAAAGGTGCACCATACCATACCTCTATTAGCTATTCATCGATTTTCTGTGTTCTCAAAATGTTTCTGTATTCTGTAAATGGAGCTTCAAACTTCTCCTGCCATATAATACAGTTGGCATTCTTTGCACTTTAGAGTGCAGTATGTTCAGTAAATAATATACCCTTGCGAAAGTTAGTTCTTCATATGAAAAATTCCCTACAATGGTTAGAGTCTAGTATTTGATGTCTTTGCTTTTCAGAGATTCTTTTGTTTTCAACTAAATTTGCATGATCTGGCCAAATGTGTATCAGAATCATATTTTGATCATGCGGTCACTTTTAATGCTTTGACCATTTGGGATGTGATTGATTTGTTCCCATCTCACTCATTTAATTGAGACTTGTGCAGTTTTTTTTTTCCTGAATCTCTTGACTGACATGTCTTTAACATCTTCTAGTTTCTTGGCGTCTTGAATTCAAAGAAAGCTAAACTAAGAGAGCTCCGAGATAAGCTTTCAAACAAAGAGGTTGCTGGGAAACTGCCAGAAGAAGAGGAAGCAAGTTCAGAACAAACTGAACCTTATGTCAGTGGCGATGACAAAAGCGAGGAAGAATTTTTGAAAGATTATCCAGCTACCTCCAAGGATGTTCCAACCATTAGGTCTCGAGGTAGAGGTCGAAAGAGGGGAACGCACAAGTAGCGTGTCACTCGTCAATTCTAAATTTCAGCATGCTTATGTCAAATATTCTGCGCCCAGGATGTTCCTATAAGTTTGTAACTTCCTATTTAATGTGTATGATATTGCAGAGTTCCTTTTTAATAGTACTGAGATCTTCAGAGGAATACACACTTCTGTACTTCTATCAAGATCTCGTTTCACAGCTGTTCTAAGCTTCGTAAACAGAAACACGGCCTAACCACGAACTGGTTCCGCGGGTCTAGTTCAGGTTTCTAGGCCAGTTTTATTTGTTATGCTTCAGTTTTACTTGTACTCCAAAACTGAATGCCAGGTTCAAGTTTTGGATCCTTGACGGACTCAAACAATTCCGTCGCCTCCTCAATGTTTCCATTCTTGCAGAGTCCATCCAACATAACGGTATATGTAGACAAGACAAGGGTTTGACCGCAAGTTTGCATCTCTTCAAAAGGTTTCTGTGCGGTTGTAACTTTGCCAGCACGATATAAAGCTCCTATAAGTGTGTTGTAAGATACCGGACTAGGTTCCAATCCGTTGCAACGCATTTTCTTAAAGAATTGTACACCCTCATCAATCTTCTAACCCTTGCAGTAGCCGTGTATTAGTATGTATGTAGCTAACAACCTTACGCTCAAAAGCCTTTATACCGCCACAATGATGTTCCGTGCCCACCATATAATGCTACGTAGAGAAAAACTTGCACGTGACGCTGTATGATTGGCACAGTCATCACTCTAAACTTAAGGAAAGGAGATTCAAACTGGGTTGCAACGTTGGACAAACACATTTTGCCTAATTTGTGAGGCGATATTTACCGCACTGATATATCGTTACTGTGGTGTCTTATGTCAATCATATAATGTTATGTGCAGAAAAACTTACATGTGACATTGTATGATTGACACATTTCGTCACAATGATGGTTAAAAGTTTTCCTAATCCACATCTACCAGGAAGATCTTTTGTTAAGCTTTTCTCCAGTCTTTTTTTTTCTTTAACATATTTTTGTTATGTAACTGTCTAGCTTTAACCGTTACTTTCTACTTTCCTATATGTTCGTGTAGCACATTATTTGTGTGATTTCGCTGCAGATTTTTACTACATTTATTTTATCCAATCTTTGGAATTGGGGATTTGTGAAATCAGAAGAAAACAATGTCTACAGTGAGGGAAGGAAAGAAGAAACCAAAGCCAGCCATGGAGCCAGGAGTTATTTCGTGGGAGGAGAGAAAAAGCCTCGCAGACAAGGATGAAGAGCTTTTGGAGAAACAAATACAAGATCTCAAAACATGGGTACTTATATTTCATTCATTTTTTATGGCCTCATTTTTCTTGTATGTGCGTACTATAGATATTTGACAGGAAATCATAAGCACGCACCATTTATTCGCCTTATACATTTTTGTTTAATTATTTTCATTGTTTTTGTTTGATTTATTCAATCTGAACGCCCCAAAAATGTGTAGAAGAAAAAATTGTGTGCAAGTAATCATTTTCCATGTTTGATTCTCACTTGAGGGATGTGATAAAGCATTTTGGACTGTTGATCATTTTGATGCTCGCATGATGAAATCAATGCAGTCAATGGTATTTGAAAGGCGTTATTCTGATAAAAACCGTATACCATAACGGGATAATGTTATTTTCTTTCTCAGAATGTCATCGCACACTCATTTTGTGTCTGATGTATTGAAGTTTATGGGATAAACGACGTTAAAACATATAACACATGTATGACGATGACGAGTAATATTTTCATCTCGTTCTCGCAGACGAACATGATAGATTCGATAGAGGAGAAAGAATTAAAGGAGTATTTGAGAAAGAGACCAGATGAATTGAAGACAGTGAAGATCATCCAAAAGACCAATTCTAAACAGAACCAAGGAGGTGAAAAGCCCAAATGCTCAACATCTAATGGGATTATGGCTTCGGTTTGGAAGTTCCACAAGGAAGAACAGGAGGATGAAGAATTTTAGGCCATTAAATGCTTATGGAATATTATTTGTTTGAATTGTAATTGGACGATTGGTGGTAAAAATAATTCAGGTATTGAAAAATGAATTAGCAAGATTTCCACTAGTTTTTTAGAGTGCTTTTGTTGTACTGGATTACTTCGGTCTGGACTAGCTCTAAGGATTAAGTTAGATTAGCTTAGAATAGACTAAGTTAGATTAACTTAATAAAACGTTTGGTACAATATCTGACTAAAAAGCAGGATAATGAAAATTAATGAAATTGCAAATTAACAATAGAATTACATCAAACTCAATAGCAAAATACCCACAATTTTGAGTTTTCTGAGGCATATTTCAAACAGATATAGAACTGGTTTGGTATTGCCGTACTTTGAAAAAAAAAAACTGCTTCTGTTGTGTTGTGAGAATAAACTCATTTTTGCTGCTTCATGTTTTCAGCCTTTTCCACCCAAAACTGTGAAAATAAGTTGTTTTTAAGTGTTTACCAAACATTTTTTTGAATTCAGCTTTTTTTTTTATACCCACTTTTTATAAAAGCACCTTAGTACCAAACCATTACATACACCCCAATTTGGACGGGTAAAACTGGATTTTAATTCTTTCCAGTTTAATTTTGGTTTAGAGCTATTATTCCTACCCCAAAGTCTTATCTTCTCATCCACCTTTTAATGAATTTTTTAATTATAAATTTGTCCATTTGTAAAATGACTAATAAGGTCCTTAGTGACCCCCTTTTGCATTACTTTTTTTTTTTTGGGTTAATCTCAGTTTACTACCTTAAAGTTTCTTGGTTTTCAACATTTGGTACATGAAGGTTTTTTCATCCTAGAGGGGTACATAAAGTTATAATTTTGGGACACTTTCATACATCCGTTAAGGTTGCTGTTAAGTTTGCCGTTAATTGCTGATGTGGCATCCACGTGAGCAATGACTGAGCGTCACGTGGATATTAAAAAATTAAAAATTAAAAAAATTAAAAAAAAAATTGGCCGTTTGCACCCACCCTTCTCTCCTCTGCACCCACTCTTCTCCCTCCCTTTTCTACTCCATCCACGTCATTTCTCTCTCTCCCCCTCCCACATCTCTCTAACACACAGCTCCATACCGAACCAGCAAAATCGAATCAATCCATTGTTGAAGCCCAAGCCAAATGACTTTCTAAACCATCTCTAAGTCTACCTCGCAAAGCGTGATGGCGTCGACAAGCTCCTTAGGATATCCCGGTACGCCACTAAGATCATTCTCACCTTTTGTGGACTTCCAGAAACCCTACCCCTAAGGCAATGGCTCAAGGGCTTTGAGTCGAGCGTCGGCGTTAGCCGCAAGGCATTCCGGTTATTAACCAATGACACATGGCAAGTAAATGTGAGTCAAGTTAGTTACAAAGGTAGTTGGGATTGAGTTTGTTAAGGAGGACAATTTTGTAATTGAGTAAGGATGTTAGAGGGTAATAGTGTAATTGTGGGTTGTTATTGGTTATTATATATAACCATTTGATCCTTCACATTCAGTTTGTAAGCTTTGTAAGAAATCTTCATTACTAAGAAATCTGAGAACAATTCTTCCTTCCATTTCTTTTCTTTCTGTGTGATCTTTGTGTTCTTGATAAATCCATAGATTGGTTAATATGGTATCATCGCCGGAAGAGGTTTGCTATCGTATTCGGTTCTGGTGATTTTCCGCTGCTCATCGACATTACCGGTCAATTCGATTGCTGGGTCTCTTGAAGATTTGGGGTTTCTTGAAGATTTTGTTGTTCATCAACACTATTGGTCGATTCGATTGCTGGGTTTCTTGAAGATTTTGCGCTTGGAGTTTATGCAAATGTTCGATTTCTGGTGTAAATCAGGTGATTTTGTTCTTGGTACCCATATGCAAATCTGTAATGTTGTTTGAGAAGTTTACTGCGATTTGTAAATTAGGAGCTTTTTGATATGAGAAATGTGTGCAATAACTACAATTGTTGTGAATTAGATTTTCTATGATTTGAGTTTTATGTGAAATATGAAGAATGGTGTTTGGTTAGTATGCTGAGGAGTATTCTAGTTATGATTTGTGTATTCTGAGACGTGCAAAGGAGTGTCAATCTTTTGTGATAAAGAAAGTGTCAGTCTTTCTTGTATTCTGAGAAGTGCAAAAGAGTGTCAATCTTTTGTGCTAAAGAAAAGTGTCTCATGTCAGCAAAGTGAAAAGCAGTATCAATCTCCTGTGATAAGAAAGTGTCAGTCTTTCTTGGTATAATTTGGAGTGCTTGTGAAATCAAGATTTCAGTATTTTCTTGGTAAACTTTTGAGGGGTAATATTGTTGGAGTTTTAACTGTTTTGAGATTCTTGGCTATAAGGTGTACAACAATGGTGTCTTCATCATTCAAAGTAGAGAATTTATTGGGAATGTTAACTATAAAGTTGAGGGATGATAACTTTGTCAAATGGGCGTTTCAATTTCAGTTAGTTCTCAAAGGATATAAGCTTTTTGGCTATTTTGATGGCACAACAGTATGTCCACCAAAGTACGTGATCAATACAAAATCAGGAGTAACAACTGAGATTACAACAGATTATGTTGAATGGGAGTCTACGAATATGGCACTTTTGAGTTTGTTACTGGCAACTCTTATAGATGAGGCTATGGAGTATGTTTTAGGATGCAAAACTTCATTTGAGGCATGGAGTAATCTTGTGGATAGGTATGCATCTGTTTCTAAGTCTAGAGTGAATATCTTAAAACTGAATTGCATACTATTCAAAATGGCACAGATACTATTGATAAATATATGTTGAGACTGAAGAATATTAATGAGCAATTAACTGCAGCTGGTGTGTTAATTTCTGATAATGACATTATAATTGCTGGTTTAGTAGGTTTGCCTAAGGAGTATTCTGTTATAAGGACTGTAATATTGGTTAGGGAGTCATCTATTACCTAGAAAGAATTTAGGGCACAATTATTGGGTGCTGAAAAGGAAATTGAAGGTGAAATAAATCTGTTATCTCAGAACATGTCAGCATTATATGTTAATGGTTTGAATTCCTCTAGTACTAGATCTTCTTTTAGGGCTGAATCTACATCTAATCCTGCATGGCACAGTCATATTCAATCTACTACTGGAGGTACTATAACTCAGACTCCTTATACTGGTGCTACACAATCATTTCTTCTTGCACCACAACCATACTTGCAGCCATTTCCTCAGCAATATCCACAACC